TAGAAAAAATAAAGGTCATCGTTTTATAATCTTTATCAATCAATACACATTGTAATATTTGTGACAACATCTGTTCTTTTTGTTTTCTGTCTAGAACATGAATAAATATTATATATATATACGCTTACAGTTTTATTACTGTTATCAAACTATCGATATAAAATGGATTAATAACGTTGAAAATATCATTCAATTATTTCAAAACTTAATATTTAATTGATTGTATTATAAGACTATTTTCAAGGATATTTAATGTTAGAAAGTTTTGTTTAACGGAACTTTGTTTTTCTGCAAGAAAAACACGAAATTAATCTTCATTTTGTAATCAGCGTTATTGACTTTTCAACAACTATGGCACAGCGCATATTTGCTGCTTATGTCGTATTATAGGGGCAATGTCAGTCAGGTCAATGATAAATTATACGTATCAACAGATTTGACCTGTTCTGGAATGGAAAATGTTTTTTATACATCTGATGTTTCGAAGCAGTTAAAACTGGAGTTTTCATTTGGAATAAACTAAGATAAAATTATTAATTCTATTATGTTTTGAAAAAGGAAATTTTAATAAATGTTTGAAAAACTATATGATCAACTTCATATAGAATTGAAGACAAATCATTCCTTTTTTTAATTTTGTTTATTATCTATAACTAAGTTAATGAAGAGAACAATTTACATATACTGTTATTTGGTAACAATCAATGAATAAATGTTATAATTTCAAATAAATTTCAGCAGTTAATTCAAAAATTAAATAATAATAATTTTCTGTAGGTAGTTTTATTTTGCATAGTAGACAATTTATTAAAGGTTTTATTTAAATTACGCAACATATTTATTATTGGTAGATGTATATATAAGTATACATCGATTAGTGTCAATTTCTATACACTCAATTAGATAAATAATAATAATTCTAAATGAACTTTAGATCCAACCAATAGTTTGTATTAAGAATAAAACAGAAGTGATAAATAATATTTTTCTTTTAAAAGAACGATTTTCGCAATTTTCTTTTGCGTAGTTCTCTTAATATTCATGAATCATGTGAAATTTCACATATCAAGGTAGTATTCAATATATGACACATTTTATAAATTGCGTCAGTGTTATGACTAACTATCGTTTGAGTATATTTTTTTCTACTAAGTAATATGAATATAACTTTTATATGAATTCATTGTTATCTATATCAAATCAAGTAAGAATCAAATATCAATTTTATTCTTAATGTCGATCATAATCTTTTTACATTAATCAGCATTTGTTTTAATATTCAACTCACGATTGTAATTTTCAAAGTATCTATTTACTTCTTTAATTATATTTTTCTTTTTTAGTATATTTTCTATAGACGAAGCAACAAGACAATTATTGCTTTTAACTGTCAACAAATAAGAAAAAAGAAGACCACTTCAAATAATAATCGAATCACTTGAATGCATCATTCCAAGTATCATCAACAATAAAATATTCAAAATTACTTTGATTATCTATTTAAAATTATTAACAAACATATTTATTATCGGTTATTCGTAAGTTCTGAGAGTATCATAATATATATAATGACGTCTTGGTTTCGTGATTACAAACAAAAAAAAAAAGATAACGTCTTGATGACATCTATATTGTTGCATTATCTCGATTAGCATCTGCAAGACTAATTTTTTTTTGTTTTGATCTGTGAGAAACGTCGACTACATCCAGATATAATTTATTTATCATCATTCTTATGCGTAAAATATAGAAGGAACCTAAAATCTGATCCATCGTACGCAGTTGGACTACCGCCAAGACTGTATTATAATGCAAATATACAGACAACAAGACTTATATGTGGTACAATATATAGAAATGCCATAGACGTCATCAGTCATAGAGGAAGACAAAAAAACATAGCACTTTATATGGTTATATTCTTTACAACAGCAATAGAAGGTAAATAGGTATAGTCAGTAAGTTATATTTTTTTATTTTTCTATACCATTTCGACCCAAATTAGGGTATATAAAAGAAAAAATAATGATTATGAGTAATTCTACTTTACATTTATAAAACAGATGTGTTTCGATTTGATTTTCTATGCATACAAAAGTGTCTTCATTCTTACACTAAATGTTTTTTTTCTTTGATGCTTTTCATATGAATGAAAAGAATACGTTTATCGAATAATTAAATTCAAGCAGATGCTGCAAATTACTATGTGAGGGCGAATATAAAAGAAAAAGAAGAAACTAGAAATGTAAATAACGTAATGTACTTAATATATATTTGTTCATTAATGGAAATATCAAAGTGTACACCTAATTTGCACGATTAGAGTACGAAAAAGTGCAGCTTTTTTTTTCTATCACTGATAGATTGCAGTCGTGTGATTAATTTATAATAGGAAAGAGAAAAAAACAAAATTTTTTTTATTTATTTTAAAAGCGTACGATATCAAATAGGAATCATCTGACGAATAGCATACAAGCGTAAGTTAACGGATTTCGAGAACGTCACTGATCTTATAAACTATCTTTCTTTTTTCTTTTCTACATGTTTTCTCAATCAGTCTAGACGTACGTCAATGATGACGAAAACAAAATCTAATGTCAACTAATGGTAGAGATGTGATATTGAGATATATACGAGTGTAACATGAATAGAAGAGATAATAAAAATATATTCTTTTTTTCTTTTCTATTTCTTTTTTTTCTCTAACATATAGCCTAGTACTAATCGATTCATTCGACTGATATATAGAGAAAACATGTATTCCAGCTAACCAGTATGTAATTTACAAAGTAATTAAAACATGTTTTTCTTATAGTACACACACAAACTCATCCATCGAAAATATTCATTGATTATATCCATTGCATATTCATCATCGTTAAAGTATGTGTATTTGTGTCTGAATTATGATGAGATTTCGAATGGAGAACTCATGCATGATGAAGAGAGACTATCGAATGAATAACAAAGTGTGTTTTTGCATGTCGTCAATCTTACTATCTGCCGGTTTTGATGTATTTATTTATTTTTTTTTTTTTCTGCCAATAGTATGCACTTCAAACAATGTTCCTTCGTTTTTTACGAGCAGATTACTGTCGCTCGTCTAACGATGATATATTTTACGACATACTTTCAGCCACAAAATAAAAAACAAATTTCGTTTTATGCAAATATTCATTGTTGTAAGAGCATTATATATTACAGATGATATTTTTTACGAATACACCCACTTAAGCAGATAAGAATATTGACCGAAGAAAAAACTAAATATAGGACGTCCGTGTATTAGTAATGTTTTTACTTCTTCAACTATACTTATTTTTATTTTGAAGCGTAATCAATGTGGCACTTGGATAGATAAGTATAAAGAAAAATTTTCGTTCTTTGTTTTTGTTGATTGTAGATCAGAAAACAAAAAGCAAACAAAGAGTATGTCTAATAATAGTTAGAGATAGGATTACCAATTATTATTGCTTTTAGCACATTTTTCTTGTAAACTGAGCTTTTAACATAAAAATACATTCATATAAAAGAATTCCTATTTTAAGATCTTATCATTTTCGGGAGGTTATCTTGATCTTAACCTAGAGAGTCAAAAGTTATCGTTAGGTTAGCATAATTATTTTTCCATATTCTTTCGTATCCTTTATTATTAAAGAAATGCAATGTAATAATTAATGTCTTATTAGTGATTTTTGGTTAGCAGAAGAATATGTTACATTGAATTTCGGTTGTGATTGATAGATGAGAAAGTGGAATGAGAGATATATCATTATGCAAAAAAAAATCAGTGCATAAATTTCATTCATTCATTCAATTGTTAGAAACTTATGATTTCTTGAAAATAATAGCGGGGGCGGTTTATAATAGCCATTTGTGACAAAAGAAAATCATCATAAGAAATAGAATTTGTACGTTTTATGAATATCTATGGTTATGAGAATATCAATGACAGCTGTTGTTTTCGATTTAGTTGAGTTGAGAGAACGAAGAAAAAAGAGAAAAAGAAAGACGCCTACATGACCTATTTTCTTTCTATGCATCGGAGATGAAACTTAGTCTCAAGAGAAAACTAAAGAAACTAGTTTCCACATGAAATAGATGAATGTTAGATAGCGGCCTCTCTGAAACACTCTATCCAATTGGATAGTTTCTATTTAGGTGTCTCATCATGTAGATATTATTGATTAAAAATAGCGAGAGTACATCGTCTTGTTATTTATTATTCAATATGATTTATTCATATAAATTATAGTCAAAACATCAGGAGATTGAAACAAATGTCTAATATTTCTCTTTCTACTTCCGGTACAATGACGTGACATTCAACAGTAAATCGTAAATGCCAAAAAATATAGTGTAACATACCTACTACTATTACATTACAATTTACAATTATATTTTCGCTCGTATGCAAGTTCGTGTTTTTTTTTCTTCTTTATCGTCTAAATCGATGTTTTGTCTTTTACACAAAAACAACTACACCATGCGTACATATTTTTTACAAAAATGTGACCTACAAAAAAAAAATCCACGCGAGAAAGAGAAAAACATCGATTAATGGCAAAGAGCAACAGTCTAAAGCATACATTTTTATAGTTTATATCGACATTTTAAATACATTGAGAAGTTTTATTATTCGGATATCACCTTTCTTTGTTCCTAAATGAAAAGGTAGTAGTCTTTTTACTCTCAAATAGTTTTCACAAACGTTACTTTATGGTTCATTTTCATTTATGAATAGTTGTGAGTAAAAAAAAACACATTTTATGTGTATTCGTTCGTAAGTATACGCCTTCTTTCTTCCTCTGTCTGTCTGTATTTATATTTATTTAGACTTTACAATAAATTCTATGACATATTTTTTTGCTTATGGTATTTTTATGATTTTTTTTGTAGATAGGACATAAATAATTTATGTTAAATTTTCTTTGGTTTATTAAAGAAAATATTTAAGTTTTGTTTCGAATCATTTCGTATACTTTACTTTTTATTTATTAATGGCGACTAAGTCATCAATACAAAGTATTAAATCAAGAATTTCAAGTAGTAATAGTGTACATAATATGGCAACAAATGATAATGATAAAAAACAAAATCGAATGCAAGTTAAAAAACCATTTAGTACAACAAATTTTTTACAAAATAATTCAACAACATATGGTTTGACAAACCATTTAAAAAAACGAACATTACGATTAAATAATTTTTTGCATTCAAAACTAAAAACTAACTGCTCAAATGAATCAACTTGTAGTCATCAATCTGATAGACATTCAACATCACCACCGCCGGTCTTGTATGCTATTGCTCCAGCTGCATCAGAAGAAATAAATAAAGCATCAAAATACGCTCAAAATGAACATAAGGTATTCTTAATTTTCATTTTCAAAACAAAAAATTAATTGAAAATATTATTTTTCGAACTATGAATCTCGATCTTGGTTCTCGCTTCTAGAGGAAAATATTTTATAATTTATTCACGTGATTAATATCACTTTTGTAGACCTTTCTCTTGCATGTGCTTTTGATCAAAATGATTAATGAGAGAAATAGAAGATACGATTGCATTCCTGATTTCCGGTTCAAAACAATTTTTTTTCTCGCAGTCTCGATTCTAGTTCCAACAATTTCTCTTTTGCATGATCTCAGCAACCTGTCAAATTTTGACGTGGATTATGTCAAAATTGATCCCGTACGTATAGTCTCCGGGTCCATCAAAAGATATTAAAAAGGTACAACGAAGTAAATGAAAAATAAAAGTTTCCGTAAATTCTAAGTATATAATTGCATCCATCCATGTATTTATTTTTATATAATATTTTTCATACATATCAATCTATTAAAGGTATTTATCTTTTCAGTCTAATGATGAATCCAAATCGTCTGTGAATTCTCGTGTTTGTTATGTACTTGCTCATACTAAAATTAAAGCAATGTCACACGATCAACATTTAACTCAAACAAAATCGAATAATTCAGAAGAAGATGAAAGTTCATTAGAATTTTATCCTGTATTATCATCAATAGATACTGATGCTGATGTTGATGAATCTGATAATACTCCTAATAAAAATATTAAAAAATCACGTCGTTTACAAAAAATGCATCGAACAAGTATTTCATCTTCACAACAAAAACATGAAAATAATAATTGTAAAGATGAACAACAACAATTAAGTTCTGATGAAAATGAAAATAAAGAATCAAATATAATTACAAATGGACATAATGAACGAAGAACAAAACCATCATTAATTAAACGATTTGATCGTTTAACAGCAACAATTGGTGATGATAATACAAAACAACAATATGATCGTTATCATCCATTAGACAATCTTGAATCAAAATTAACAAAAACAAAAACAAAAACAACAACAACAACAAATGAATCAACATCATCAATTCCAAAAATGACTGTATCAACAAATCAGTCATCTATAAAAAAAATTAATCGATTTCAAGTTAAATCAATACATAAACTTCAACAACCACAAATTATATTAACAAATACAGCTGTAGCTAAAACTTCAAATAATGATCATTATTCAATATCAAATAAAACTTCAAATTTATCATTAAAATCATCAAGTATTGAAAGAAAACATACAAATATATCGACAACTAATACAGAAAAACCAATGACACATATAAATAATATTGTTAATGGTAATATTTCAACATCTATTAATGTTGAAAATGGATATCAGCATGTTCATTTTCAAGGTACATCAAATGAGAAACAAGATTCAGCTCCTGATGATGAAAAATCATCTAATTTAACAGTTACAGCAGTTACATTAACAACTCCAACTCCACATTCATCGGCAGCTTCAGCACAAGGAGAGGTTAGTATCAAATAGCTGAATCGTCATCACTTGAAGATACGATATATATATATATATTAATCAGGGAAAATTTTCAACTAATCAATTGCTTTCTCATGAAAAATTACCGAATTATGAATTATCGACTATGATGATTCTGAATATGATCATAAGAACATATCGAGTTGTCTATAAGTCAATAGTTTTTCTGTTTTCTAAAAAACTGAATTCTAAGTAAGATGATAATATCATCTTGAGAATTTTCACTTTGAGATATCTGGAAAAGGCACGAACACCTTTCTCCCCCCTAATCGGGAGTTGATCCTAGGAACACTAATACGTTTTACCAAGGAATAGGTCGACACGACCTAGGCATATACAAACTACGAGAACAACCAACGTCATATCCTTTTCTTCTTCTTCTACCGAACAAAAACGGTATGAAATTCGATGCTCTACGAAGAGGAGAAACATAACAAAGGCACCCGTACAGTAGACTAAAAGTTAAAATGTCGAATGAAAAGAAATGCGTCAGTATTCAAAGAAGAATAGGATATGATATTAATGTTAGTGTATATGACACTTTATACTATTAAATACGTAAATTGATAATAGACATCCATTGGATGCATTTACACAAGCTATATTTCATATTTTGAATATGTGCTTAAGTCGAGTCGAGTCGACCTATTAACTGGTAAAAGATATAGGTGTTCTTATCTTTTATGAATGCCTAAAATATTGATATATAACTCTTGTATGTATTGAAATGACTATACTTCCTGAAAGGAAAAGTTACTGTTTTTCTAAGTAATTCAATATTCTCTATAATATAGAGGAATAAAAAAAAATTGTTAGTCTACAAAAAACTAGAATATAAAGACCTAATGAAATTTCTCATACTCATATTCATAGTCAATAATCTACAATCCACTAGCTTTCGACATGAAAATAATTGATCAAAATCTTCTACTCGGATTCAATAGAACATTTTGAAACAAATTCTACTTTTTGTTTTTCTTCTAAATATGATTTATATTTATTTTCTTACCATAGGATGATGAAGAAGAAGAAGCAGTTGCTAAAAGTCCTGATAATCGTTTTATTAGATATGCAAAAGAAATTGGTCGTGGTGCATTTAAAACAGTCTATCGTGGTTTAGATACTGAAGCAAGTGTTGCTGTTGCTTGGTGTGAATTACAAGTAATATAAAGAAAATTTCTTTTTGTTTAAATATAATTTTATGAAATTGAATAGGATTTTGCACATTTTGATAAACATGAACGAGCACGTTTTAAAGAAGAAGCTGAAATGTTAAAAAAATTACAACATCCAAATATAGTACGATTTTATGATTTTTGGGAAGAAACAAATCCACGAACAAATAAAAAAGTTATTATTCTTGTTACAGAATTAATGACATCAGGTTCATTAAAAGGGTAAGACAAAAGAAAAATAAAAATCATTTTAAATTAAATTTTATCTATTTATTATTATTTTATTTAAAGATATATACGTAAATTTAAAGGACAAACAGAAGAAAAACGTATTAATGTTATAAAAAAATGGTGTCGTCAAATTCTTAAAGGTCTTTCTCATTTACATGGTCGTAATCCTCCTGTTATACATCGTGATTTAAAATGTGATAATATATTTATATCAAGTACAAATGGTTGTGTTAAAATTGGTGATCTTGGTTTAGCTACATTTAAAACTCAAACATTTGCTAAAAGTATGCGTGGTACTATGGAATTTATGGCACCAGAAATGTTTGATGAACAATATGATGAACGTGTTGATATATATTCATTTGGCTTATGTATGTTAGAAATGATAACAGGTGAATATCCATATATTGAATGTAAAGGACCAACAGCTGTTATAAAACGTGTTACAGCTGGTTTAAAACCCGATTGTTATTATAAAGTTGAAAATGAAGGTATAAGAGAATTTATTGATTGTTGTATACGTACAAATAAAGAAGAACGTTTATCTGTACATGAATTATTACAACATTCATTTTTTCTTGATGATAATGGTTTACGTATTGATTTTGTACGTGATCCATCAAATGATTCACAAATCATGGTAACAAATAATTCAATTAATTTAAAATTGAAAATTATTGATAAAACAAAACGTAAATCATTATGGACAGAACATGAAGCTATACTTTTTCATTATAATTTAATAACTGATACACCTGAACAAATTGTTGATGAACTTATTGAAACAAATTATATATTTGATGATGATAAAAAATTTGTTATACAATCAATTAAAGATCGTATTCGAGCATATCAATGTGAACAAATTGATCGAAAAGCTGGAGTTTTTTGTCGAGATGGTAAACCAACTATTAATCAATCATCAATTATTGGACAACTACCGCCTCAACAAAGACAAATATCGACACCACCGCCTCAGCAACGACAAGTATCGACACCACCACCTCAGCAACGACAAATATCAACACCACCGCCACAACAACAACAACAGCAACAATTTGCATCATCTCCGCAACAGCAACAACAATCAACAAATCCATTATTAGCTCAATCTCAAGTACCACTTGTTCCTTCTATTTCATCAACACCTCCAATTATTCAACAATCATCACCAATGGAAGTACAACAGCAACAACAACAAATGATTAAATCAGTTGTAGTAACAGAATCAATTGCAGTTCCACAATTATCTGAACTTGGAACAAATGTATCGAATTCAGCTGGTAGTCTTGAAATTCTTAATGCAGCATTAAAGAAAACTTTTACTAAAAATAATACATCTCAAGGTACAAATACTACATCAGCAATTACCAATGACATTAATGAACAAATAATATCATTGGTTAATCAAGATGAATCATCAATTTCAAGACTAGGAAATGATACTACTGTTGTTGATCAACAACAAATAGAGGAATCTGCAGGATCATTGCCTAGTGAATTGGTGACAAGTAAATAACTAAAATACCATTTAATTATCTATTTACTTTTAATTATTTTTATTAGATATTTTTCATCTATCGACACCATCAACATTACAGACTCAATCACAACCAACGACAATGTTAACTAATTCTCAACAACAAATTTTACAAAATCCTCTTCTTTTAACACAACCATCACAAAGTATTTCTTATTCAACAATACCTCTTCCTCAACATATTATTACGACAATCTTACCAAATGATACTATAAAGCAACCAATACCTTCTTCTTCAACAACAACAACAACAGAGCCTATTGAAAATAGTCTTCTATCAATGTCACCTCCATATCCAAATGAAATACTTCAACCTTCTATTTCGTCAGATACACCATCAACTCCTCAACCACCTGTAAATAACTATTATTTAAATATATTTTTTTTACGAATTCATTTGTTTTTTCTATTAGATATCGGGTAGTTTAAAACAACTTGATGCACTTCTTAAAAATACATTTAAAACTACTGGTAGAACACATAATAGTGATACAGAAATAACAAATACAAACGTTCCATTAATAATTAATGATGAAGTTTCAACAAAAACAACCGAAATTGAATCTGATTTATTAAATAAATTTGATGATAAACAACGAAATTCTCATCCTATGATACTATCACTTACTCATTCAGAACCAAATACATCATCCTTAATACTTCCTAAACCTATTCAACAAATAAAATCACAACCAACAAGTCAACTTTCAACATATTTCGATCCATTAATATCATCTGAAAGAAATATTCATGAATTAAATAATACATTACTTAGAACTTCACATGAAAAATGTTTATCAAATGATGATACAATAAATACTACATCATCAAATGATTTATTTGAAATTAAATTAATGCTTATTAATTTAAATAAAACAGTATTAAAACGAATGGATATTATTGAAAATAAAATTGAAGAACATAAAAATCAAACAATACAACTCAATAATTTATTAACAAAAACTGTTTTACCATCGTTTATTGATTTAGCTACTATTGTTCATGAAACACCAAATTTAGATTCATGTGCAAGAACTAAACTTGAAAATATTCAAAGAAATATTCAAATAGTACAACAACATAAACAAACTGATATGAAAGATTTGATGGAAATCTAAACGGTTTATTTTTTATTTGATTATGTGTGTGTGTGTGTGCGTCTTTTTTTTCTTCTTTTTTCGAGATTCACATGTACAGTTTCTTTTTCTTTTTTTTTTGTGTCGTTGTGTTTTCTGTTTTTTTCTCCTACAATCATTGTTATCCTTGACGTAACTAGAAGTACAAGGTTAATGATAGAAAAGAAAAACATAATTTTATACATGTACATAAATAATCAATTATCAGAGCGACGAATGAATGAAAATTGACAAATAATAAATATGGAACCTTATGTTCTATTTAGTTTCAAAAAGGTCACTAAATGCAATAATAGACAAATGGTGGTTAGAGTGTACAAATTCTTTCTGCTTCTATGATGAAGCAAACTTTGACCTTAATGACAAATGAGAATATTATTATTTTCTAATTCGAATTTTAACTAAATAATCAGTATTATTAGTTCACTTATTTGATTAATAAATCTATACATTAATTTGCGGTTCAAGATATAGTGAAATATTATTTATATTGGATGATTATGTATTTCGAATAGGCAATTTAGAGTCATCTATCTTAGTGAATATGGATATTATTAAACATTGAACAAAATACAGTGCGAAGTTTCCAATGTCGATTGAGAGATAAATCGATAGTTTCTTTAAAAAAAAATGAAATTATTTTCTTCAAAAGATAATCACGCTATACTGAATTCAGAGGTTCGTATTTGTCACTGTTAATAAAAAAAAGTCATGTTACAACTAATCAGATGATCGAAGTCAGAAAGAAACTGTGAAGTAACTAACATGATTTAAGAAAATACCTGATTTACTCTCTCTCTTACACATTATCGATCATTGTTCTAACCAGCTTTTTGATACGCTTAGTGTGACGAATAATGTTATGTAAATATTTGATACGGTTGATGAACAAAATTAATATTGGTTAAATTATTAGTGGTAAAATTCTATGTAAATCTGTTGGTCTTGAGAATTGAATACCAACAATTAAATGTAATCTTCATATGAAAATAGTTCTATGAAATTATCTTTTTAAAGATGACAAGATAATTTGTTTTGTCGAACTAATTATAGACTATTTATTTATTTTTCTTGTATTGGATTCATTGACTAAATATAATTCAACAAGAAAATAGCTTAGAAGATCTGTTTCTCGAAGTTAAAATGAAGTTTATATTATTTAATTCGATGAATATTATTCTATATTGAATATCATTATTTGAATTTTGTCTTGAAAATAGTTTTGATTCATTTATTCAATCAAAAATCTATGAAAATCCATAAAAATCTTCATCATATTCTAAATGATTATGCAACAATGATTCAAAATCTTATATTCAAATACCTATATTTGATGTGGAAAAAGAAGATTCAGTTAATTGTTGAAGATCAAAAGAGCAAGTCTTAACTAAACGTCATTCAGATCACATCATACTGGATTTTGTATTGCATTCATTATTAAAATGAATGAATTTAATGAAGAACTAATGCTGAATCATGAATGTAAGAAGATGAAACTCTTTTTACTTTACTTCTTAATTATATATGTGAGATTTAGCTGATAATAAACAATCAACTGACGTTGAAAGACAACTGATTGAAACTGTTCATATTAATTATATGAATAATGTCATGTAAAAATCGTAATGTGAGTATTAAGCGAAAATTATTCGGTGATTTTACAAAAATATAATGATAAATAGTTAGATTAATGTTAAACATGTTTACTGAAAATAAAATAAATGGGTGTGCCTTATTGACATAGTATACTAACAAATACTTTTCGTCCATTGTTTTGTTGGTCATAGCCAAATGATTATTTTTTTGTAATATTGTACACTTGTACAAAAGATTTCTTTGACTTTCTTTTGTAGTAATGTTGTTAGTTGATTTTTTTTTGCAGACAATTATTGTATCCAACAAAGCAAAGATTGGTGGTAAATTAATGTGACAATATGGTAAATCGAAACATAAAGATCCAAAATAACTGAGAAGATATAGGATTTCAAAAGAAAAGAATTGGAAGTACTTTGAATAATAACAAGTGTGACTGCAATGTTTTTAATGGTACAAATTTTGTCAAGAAATTTCAATAACTAATATTATTCTTGAATATTTGACTTGAGAAATGGATGAACTATAAGTCGTATTTCAGAGATATATTTGAGAAGTTTTCATTGTTACTTATTCAAAACTAAATTTATTTGAAGAAACAATTCACAAGTTTTAGAAAAACATTCTTCTCTTTTCAAACATGAAGCTAGAAATTGACCAAGTTATTTTGATTAGATAATACTCGTAAATTTTCACTTCATTTCATAGTTGATCTAAATACATGTTCCAAAGTTTGACATAATGGCGTATGAACCTGTAATCGTAAACATATCCGAAAAGTCACTAAAGTTAGAAAAAATTGAATATCTTCACTACGGCTCGAGCAAACGAGCCTATTCTTTTATCAATGATAGAGGCATGTTCAAGCTTTATATTCATAAAGACATGCCTAAAGAGACTCCTTGTTAAGTCTATTGTTTTTTCCTATCTATAAAAAAAGTAAAATGTTTTTTGATAAGGTCATTGATAGTATTTAACAAAGGCTCTCGCTAACATTGTCCGTATAGATTTGAAGTATAAACATGTCTCTATTATTGGTAAAAATATCAGCCTGTTTGCTCGAGCCGTAGCGGAGATATTCAATTTTTTCTAACTCTAGTGACTTTCCGGACATCCTGTATTTGAAATTCGAATCTTCCTTTAAAAAGTTATGAGCATCATGAAAAACAATAAATACGTTTTTTTTTGACGACTTTTAGCAATGTTGTGATAAATTTCGCTTTGTTTTCACTCTTGTAATGCTCATAACTTTTTAAGGGAAGGTTTTAGGAAATGTAGCATCCCCTTATTTTGTGCAGTTTAAAATGATACTCTTAAAAACTAATTCCCACACAGTCTTCTGAAATTCAGTACTGTTGAAATCAATATCTAAAAGTGATTATTCTCAAGTGTTGATTGATTGAATCTCGACATTAGATTTTTAATTCGAGAAAATTTTAAACAAAGAAAAAACAATTCTTAATTTAAATGATAATTTATTTATTAATTTCAAACAAGAAAAAAAAACACATATCGAAAATCTTCTTTGTCTCTTAATCAAAATTTTTTCTGTAATTTAATTTAATCCTTTTTTTTGTTGTTGGTGCATTTTTTCAATTAAATCCGATCGATCTAATAAACGATCAATATGTTCATCTGATAGAAGATCATTTTCTGTAATAACTGTTCGTTGTTCAATTTTTGTTATACCTTCAACTAATTCAGCTAAATTAATTGATTTAGCTTGTTCACCTTGTGGATCAAATGACAAAACCTAGGAAAGAAAAAATAAAATTTGTTTCATGAAATATCAAAGATTAACTTACTGTTTCATATGCATCAAAACCTTGTTTAAGTTCTAGAAATTGTAAAAAAAAAACACAACGATATTTTAAATTTTGAAATGATAAAAGAAAACAAGACAAACCGTCATGTACAATTAATTTTTCCATAATTTGTTTTGAACATGCACGTTTATATACACGTTCATCAATTGTATTACGAACAATAAAACGATAAACAATAACAGGTTTTGTTTGTCCAATACGATGTGCACGATCTTGAGCTTGAATATCAATCATTGGATTCTAATATTAAGAAAAAAAAACATTCTCAACGATTCTACATGCTTACAGAGCAAAAAGAAAGGAATAATATGTCCATAACTCAATAAGTAAGGATTAGAAAATCAAATCAAAACAGACTTTTTCATTACTTCTCAAGATCGATTGAATGACAATAGTCTTAAATGAAAAGTGATTGTACAATTATGAACGTTGAATCATATTAACAGAGAATAACTATCATTTTTTTCCTGCAAAAGAGATCAAATTGCAGCCTAATATCTAGCTGAGAGGAAAAAATTAATATTTTCGATATTGTAAGACGTATTACCCAATCTGAATTGAATAAAATAACTGTATCAGCTGCCATTAAATTCAAACCTAAACCACCAGCTCTTGTACTAATTAAAAAAATAAAAACATCTGGATCTTTATTAAATGTTGAAATCTAAAACAAAAATCAAATAAAATTTAAAAAAAAAAAAGAGATTCCTTAACAAATTCTTATCAAAACATACAGCATCAATTCTATCTTCAAAACTTGTATGTCCATCAAGTCTTGTATAACCATAATTTCGATGTTCACACATTGCTTCAAGTAAATCAAGAAAAATAACCAATGTTGAAAAGATCAATACCTATATTTTTTTACTCATTCATTTCTTTTATCAATCAAAACAAAATTCGAAATTCTTACTTTGTGATTATTTTGACCTAATTTTGCAAGCATTTTATCTAATAAAATAAATTTTCCACTACTTGTTATTAAATCTTCATTAACAATTATTTCTCCATTTTCATCTCTTGGTGCATCAAGTAAATATGGATGTGTACAAGCACGAAGAAGTGGAAATATTACACTTCGACCTGTAATTTTCTTGGCAATAACATCTTCTCTACAATTAAAAAGAAAATTTTATTAACAGACCATCCATGAATGGACTAAGAGGCCGAAACGCCGGTCGAATTTTGATTTTTTTTATGCGCATTCGAAAGAGTATCCATCATTTAATAGAGGACAGCATCGGATGCAAGTCTGTATGAGGGTTAGTTTTTCAACCACGTTCGACGGTGTTCTCTATCAAATGGTGAAAATCACAGGTCATTATGACTTTTCGTTCAAAAGTCCTAAGCATTTTTTCAGCTGTCTTCTTTAAAAACTCCGATAATACCAAGAAAATAGTCAAGATCTTGTAAAATATGTCAACTGAAGTTATACTTTAACAAGTGAGCAAGTTCTTTCATACCATATATGAAAAGATAGAGCATTGAAAATTATTTAAAATATTATATATATGATCTATTTACTGGATCAATAAGAATGAAAGGATCTCAAATTTACTAATC